TATTTCTCTTCTTGCTGTGCTACATCCCTCAAGATTTCTTTCAAAGAATGTCTTTGTGTGGTGAGTGTTCTGAGACCTTACCGCCTGAGCAGTTCTGTGTTTTTCCTTCTACTTCTACAATAGTTCATTACCAAACCATAGAGTTTCCAAGGAGCAGCTGGTGGATTGGAACTGCTGACCTTGTGGTTAGCTGCTGTAGCAATTAACCACTACACCACGAGGGTTCCCAGTAGTTTATTAGTTGTATGCAAATTTTATTGTCATAGTTCTTTTCCTTTAATACTTTAATTCGGAAATAATTACTTCATTGTCTAGTTGTATCCACTGATACTGCTGAGAAGTCGGATATGTCACTGTTTCTCTTCCTTTATGGAGGCATGTACCTTTCTTTTCTGGAAGCTTTTGGACTTTTCTCTTGATATATGATTCTTGTAAGTGTCCTTATATATTTTGATGTGGCTTTTTCCTTAACCTGTTCACTACTCTATGTGTACTTTCAATACAAAGTTTTAATATTTGGGAAATTTTGTCATTATTTCTTCAAATGTTTCTTCTCTTCCATTTTGTCTTTTCTCTCCTTCTTTGATTTCCATTATGTGAATGTTAACAAATCTTCTCCTGTTCTTAGCTTCTTCTCTGGTTTGTTCTATCTTTTCATCCCTTCCCTAGGCCTTTTGGGAGAGTTCCACTCTGCGTTCCAGCTCACTAGTTCATCCTCCATCTGTATCTGTTATACTTTTTTTATAGCCAGTCCTCTGGACTTGTGTTTTTAATACCCAATGTCTCATATTTGGAGCCCTGGTGGCACAGTGGTTAAGAGTTCAGCTGCTAACCAAAAGGTTGGCAGTTCGAATCCACCAGCCATTCCTTGGAAACCCTGCGGGGCAGTTCTGCTCTGTCCTGTGGGGTTGCTGTGATTCAGAGTCGACTCCACGGCAACAAGTTTGTTTTTTTTTTAAATCTCATATTGATTTCCTTTTCATAACTCTGTGTACATATTCATGTTCCTAAAAATCTATCTTGTTTTCTGAAGGTATTATTATGCCTAAATTATATTCTTGTTCAGTCTGTTTTATTTTCTTTGGATGAGGTTGCTGTTTGTTGCTTTTCTATTCCTGTGCATACACATCTTAGACATGTTAAAGTTTTCCTTGTGTGCTTATCTTTTATTTCCTTGTAGCATTCAGCTGCCTTGACTAGTAATTTCAGTCTGAGAGGAAGGATGAAAGGCTGGGCTCTGGCTTGTGCTTCTTCAGGTTAATTTAAAAATGCGAGTGGAAAGCCTGAACCATTTGCCCTTCTACTCCTTCAGAAACAACCCACAAGAAAACAAAGCAAAACCACCACCCTCCCTCACACACCATGGTGGGTACATGCATACACACACACACTAATTCTGGTGTCCCAGCAGCCACTCACTGTTGCAGTTTTCTTGGTCTTTTTGTGGTAGAATGGAGTTGGGTTAGACCAGTGAGGGACTGCAGCTGGGTGCTAGTAACTCTCCATCCAAGCTTGTCTTCATTGATTCAAGCATTGTGTTGGGTACTAAACTAAACCAGACCAAACCCATTGCCATGGAGTCAATTCTGATTCATAGTGACCCTATAGGTCAGAGTAGAACCACCCCATAGAGTTTCCAAGAAGTGCTTGGTGGATTCGAACTGCCAACATTTTGGTTAGCAGCTGAGCTGTTAATCACCGTGCCACCGGGGCTCCGTGTTGGGTACTAGGATATAAAAATTTAAAAGATGCAATCCATATCGTCAAGAGTTTTCATTTTATGTTGTCAGTGGAAAATAAATAGGCATTTGTAATAAAGTGCGATAAAATCTGTGATGAGGCATGTTCATAGTGGTATGGCAATGCGTGGAAAGAGTTCTTGATTCTTTTGAGGGGAAGAGAGAAGGTAGATGATAGACAGTTTCCCCAGTGGAGGTGAGTGCCAGGTTGAGTCCTGAAGTTTTGTTAGGTGGGTGAGAAGGCTTAGTGGATGTTGGGAGAAAAGGAGCATTTCTGGCAGAGGAAGCCAGTAGTTCAGAGGTGAACGAAGCCAGGTTAGTAGTTTGACTTGGCTGTAGCTTTTACTTTCTACTTGATAATAATTTTGGCAAGATCCTTATTGCTGTTGAGTTGATTCCGACTCTTAGCGACCCTATAGGACAAAGTAGAACTGCCCCATAGAGTTTCCAAGGCTGTAATCTTCACGGAAGCTGACTGCCACATCTTTCTCCTATGGAGTGGCTGGTAGGTTTGAACTGCTGACCTTTTGGTTAGCAGCTGAGCGCTTAACCACTGCACCGCCAGGGTATAGGAGAGGAAATAGGTAAACTGAAGTGTAGTGGCAAACTGTAGAATTTTAAGAAAGGAATTGGTACAATCAGATTTACATTTTAGAAAGATCTTGCTGTCTATGGAGAGTGCACTGACATGGGACAAGGCAGCAGCCATTGAAACCCATTACGGGGCTGTTGCAGTAATATGGGTAAAGAGAGATGATGGCCTGAAGTAAGGCAGTGGCTGTGAAGACAGAAGAGATCTAAGTGATAAATAAGGGTGTTGGTCAGCCAAACCCTGCGATTGATTTCACTTGGTTACATTTGGCAGAGAGGGAGAGTGAGCTGGTCTTTTCTTTCAGGCATACCATTAAAAACACATATTTTCTGAGCATCATTTAATTTAAAGAATCAGTTGGAAACATAGCAAAACAATAGCCTACTTTTTTTTTTTTTTAAGGAACAATTTCTTATCCTTGATCCTAAAATGAAAATAGTTCAGAAAACTGGGAGATTTTCCCTAAGTTTGTGGTAAACTCAGTTGATGGCATAACCTACTCTGACATGACATGAAGCTACTTACAGTCTTTGTTTATCCCACTTTGTGTGGACATTCATACATTTCTTTCAGAATTATTAACGTATGTGATGATGAGATGCTGCTGCAGACCCCACTGGCAGTGTTATATAACCTAACAGTGTGTGTATATATATATATATATCTTATTCCCTTTCTAAAACCCAAAATATTCTGATGAGCATGTCTAACCCCAGCAGTTTCAGATAATGAATTATAGATTTGTACTTTGAATTTGAACATTTTTGCAGTTTTTTTATTGCAATATTATTTTCTAATAAGAACCACTATGTGACATTGGAGCTGTGAAGGAAAAATGAAATAGATGTGTATTATACAACACACACTCCAAATTGTATTGTCAAGTGAAGGCGCAAAATAGTGTATAGTATGCTTCTGTTTAGGTTTAAAGAAATACAGAAGGGGGAAAGATACACATACACGCGTAGACTCTCTCTAGCAGGATGAACAAAGAGCTAGTGTCAGATTGAGAGCTGTGAGTCATCATGGGACGAATTCTTGTGTGTGTGTGTGTGTGTGTGTGTTTGTAGTGTTCACATATTTCACTATGTACATTATTTTTTGTTTCAAATTTAAGTTGCACAAATAAATTTAGGAACACTTTCTCCTTGTTAAAAGCTTAAAGATCCGTTTGACTTCCAGCGTCAATAACTGCTTTAATTTTATAATAATAAAAAAGAAGAAAATAATCTTTTATGTGGCTACTAGCCTGCTATGACATCTGTTGTAATTTATTCCTGTCATTTGTCATCAGGACTGTGTCCAGAGAATGAGTATCAGAAAACCTTAAACTTCTAAACATTGAATATGTGGTATTGCCAAGATTACCAGAAGCAGAAGATAGAGAATAGAGTGGCTGAAGATGAGTACCGATCAGCAGAGGTGGGAATTTGTTCCCGGTGTGCCAGACTGGGCAGTGAAAGCAAAGATTGGAAGCATGAGTATAGTGTCTGAGCAGCAGAGCAGTGAGAGATCTGGAAAGACAGTATTGCAGGACAGAAGGAGCAGAGGAAAGCATATTTTAGGCAAAGGGAATATAGGAGACAGGAAACAAGAAGGAAAAAACAAGCTTGGGGACCCCTCAGAGAAAGAAAGCGGGGTGAGGACAAGATTAAATTTCCTGAATGCAGCAGGGTTGTTGGTAGTTGGAAGAATTCTTAATTGTCCTCTGCAGTGTGGTGGAATTATAATTTCGTGTTAAGATAAGGCTCGGTATTTATGATAGAACTAAAATAGTGCTTGGCCAAATAGAGTGAGGAAGGTTAAAGTCCACTTACCACTAATAAGTTAGTGTAGACTGAACGTAGGGGGAAAAAAAAAATCCAGCTATTTGCTACATTTCGCTAACTGTATATGTGAATTGTATTTTTTACTTGCACAAATATTTGTAGTTCTAGTTCCATCAACAGTCTCTTTTATAGTGCAAAGCAGTCAATTAAGTACTTAAACATATGATATTTGATGTCTGTATTTTCTTTGATGATGCTTTGCTTTTCAGTATTACAACAATCTTAGAACCTGATTTGTCGTGGGCACTAAGTCAATAAAATTAATGTCAGGAAGAAACATTATTGTTTAGATGTTTAGTTGTGTACTCACATGGTTATGTGCAGAGTCTTCATTTAAAAATGCAGTCATCGGTGGATGGCTCCAGTGACGGAAATTTGGTAAAGCAAATGCAGTAAGTGTCAGTGGTAGAACTCATCTGTTGGTGGACAGGTGAGCGCTCACACTGCGTTGTTGTCAACTTCTGTGTATATTTGAACATGTTTAGAATAACAGTTGGAAAAAGCATAACTTCTCGTATAAAAGCTAGTGTGAATTAAATATTATTGTGCAAATAGTAAAATAATGTATCTGAATCCTTTGAGTTCTCCACTGACTATGAAGAATGTGAAACATTCTTTTTGTTAGTGGAATACCTATTTTAGACATATATCTGTCAGAAATAAAAATAATCTGTTCCTTTCTCATGCAAATTATTTTACCCTTAAAAACAGCATTATTATGAGCATTGGTAAAGATACATGAAAAAATTATAAGGGATTATAAAACATTTTTGAGGTAAGCATAAATTATAGCAGACAAGGGTTTAGCAACTATTTAGAACTTTTATTCTTCTCTTTTAGGGAATCTGGAAACATCAAAGCTGGATTAGAACATCTGGTAAGTTCTAATTTTCTCTTGAACATTTGCATCCTCTTTGATATCTGCATTCTAAATGAACACTTTTGAATGAGCTTTGAATACCTTGTATTGAGAAAGTCAACCATTTCCCAAAGGGTCAGCTTACTGTTATTATGTGAAGGGACTTACATTTTCATTTATCTTATCATTTCAAGGGAATTTTAAATTTTTTTAAATTACTTTTTTTTTTATTTTGATGTAGAGATGAAATAAAATGGATGACAATCCTTGGATTGAAGATTGCTTTAATCATAAACAAAAATTGTTTGGTGTAGAACTTTTGGCATATCTTGATCTGACAAAACAAGCTTGTGTTTTAAGAAAAATGCAGTCAAATATTGCACGCATAAATGTGGTATGTTTTAGCAGTTTAGCAGCTTTGAAAGAAGTGCACAGCTTTATTTTTCCTGATGTCTCTGCTTTATGAATAATGCAGTGGTTTTAAGCTCCATTCAGCTTTAGGATATAAAAGTAATTGAGATGCAAAATTTTGGGTTTAAGTAAACATTTTTAAAGTACAAGTGAAATCCAAACTGATTTAACATTGAAATCTGTCCATTGATCAAAAAATTTGAAAAACTGTTGTACTCCAACAGGTCCAAAATTCACTGAACTTGCCATATTGAGTGTTCGTTACAACATTAAGTAGTTCATTTAAACAGAGCATTGTAAAGTCATGCTCTGGTTTTTGGTCAAATCCAAATGATGAATAATTAATGGTAGAGATTCTTTTGTAAATACAGCTAAGTACTTTTTTAATGCCAGGCTTCGTTCGTATATCATACTGTAGCTTTGTTAACTATTGATGTGCTCCTGTTCTGCTTCCACAAAAGCAGGCAATAGCAAGAGGCGGCTTCATTTTTTACTTGTAGTAGGTTTAAGGTGAAGGATGTTTTGGTTTTCCTTTCAATAGAGAAGGAAACTGAGGAAACCTAGACTTTAAAAAATGACCCTGTCCCAGAAACCACCTTCCAGCCAAGCAGTAGACAGGCCTATAAAATAAACGGTCACACTCGAAGAGAACGTGTTCTGTAGAACTGTTATACGAGACCAAAAGGCAACATTTGCCCAAAAACAAAGGTGAAAACACAGGAAGGGGTAGGAAAACCAGATGAAAGGAAACGGGGAACCCGGTCCGGAAACGGGGCTAGTGCTGACTCTGTGTGGGGGTCACAGCAATGTCATGGGACAGTTTGTGTACAGTCTGTTGGAGGGCAAACTAATTTGCTCTGTAAACTTTCACCTAATACAAAATAAAATATTTTCAAACTGACCCTAAAATTACATTTTATTTATTAAAAAGCGGGAACTTAGAATATTTGAATTATGTATTTGTCAGGATCAGAGGTAAGTAAATAATATTGTTATTCTCATCATGAAAAAGTATTTCTTGATCCGGTGTTTATCACTGTGTAGCGGTTTGTACACATATATTTAGGATGTATGCGTATCGGAATAAAAATGTTAGTCTAAAACATCACGTTTGTATAAATTGGGGGCGTATAACAAGGAAGATCAGCATTGTGTCAGATGACTTGTATTCTATATTTCTCTTGTAAATTCTTAGTTATTAAAAAGCCGTTATATTTCCTTTGTTCATGTTCCTCAGTAAATAGTTTCTTTAGTTTAAATTTTGTATTTTTCACACTGACTGGGAAGACCTCATTTTCGGCGACTGTTGCACACAGTCAGACTGTTCTGGGAGTCCTCTCCAGCAGGAGTTTCCTGGCTCTGCCTTGGGCTGCCGAGGAGGCTCCCAGAGCAGATGAGGCTCCGCTGCTGGTGCCCACTTTAACCAGAGTAGTCCACTTCTCAATATTGTCAACTTTCCAGCTTTCTTAGAAGAGTTCCTCTGAAGAAAGAGTTCTCCAGCTTAAAAGATTTAAAAATCTTTGATGAAGCTCAGGCACTTAATAAAGTTAAGAATAAGTGTGTTAGTTGTTATTCTCTATTCTTGACCCTGAGTCATGTTTAATTTTGATCTGGGTCACAGACTGCAAACGTATTTCCAAGGCAGTGCACTTGAGGGATGGGAGGCCTAGACTGGCCCAGAGTCAGACAGTGAGATGGAGATGATTGGAATGCATGTTACTGAAGTTGTTGGAAGGACTCTGTAACTTGACATTGTAAAATTGATCCACTAAGTGTGTAAATAGGAACTCAACAGTGTATTCGTGTGTGTGTGTGTGTGTGTGTGTGTGCAGCTTTGTGTACTAATGATACTTGGTAAAGTCAATGCCACTCCTCATAACTCCCTAAGAGGGAGGTGAAGTCGCAGTTTACTGGCTGAACATGAATGAAATCTGTTCTGTCCAGTCCTGTGGGTTCCTGAGGTTTGTGTCTCCACTTCAGGCTGAGCATACACCTTGTAGCCCTGGCTTTGTAGCACATGTAACCCTTCTTTGAATTGACAGTCTAGCCAAATACAGTCAGACGTCTGTCTGATAGATTGGTTTTGAAAACGATACAGTGTAAAATTAAAATGAGCGGAGCACCGCACACATTAGGGGTCAGTCTTGTCTTTATCTCGTCTGCTTCAGTCTCCGTCTTTTCAGACTCTTTATCTGAACTGTCGTACGGAATTAGCACAGTACCAAGAGAGGTAGTAAGTCAATACAAATTTAAACAAGTTAAGAAAAATGACAGATGCAGCATGTTTTACGAGGGACTCATAGGTAGTTACACTGTCTCTGTACTGTATGTTTGTGGGCTTGTCTTGGTGTGGAGCGATCCGTCCCCCTGCCAGGGGGAAGGCGGGTGTGGCTTATAAAGAAAGAGCAGGCTTAGGTGGACTGTGTCCCCTGGAACTTTTTCAAGGGCTGGTTTACTTAGCGTCACAGTCCCTCAAGCCCTGATTCAGCCTTTGTCCTATCATTCATTTTTTTCCTGTAGTGACAGGTTTTCCTGGGGACTGTCTGGCATGTCATTCTTCCCAACTTAAATTTCTTATAACATGTTGCTGAATACCATTTTATTTTATTTTCAGGAACTTACCCATTACATACTGTTGTTTCACCCATGCTGCCACCCTTGTTTTAGACTCGGCTCTAAAATTAAATATATAAAATGTTCTACGTGAGTGTGTTTGCTGGCATATCCCCAGTGATCTGTTTGGATGAAACTCCTCCTCTAGTTCATTCCTCAGAAAGGTTCCTGTGTACAGTGTTTCCTGAGTTCTTGCACATTCCAAGCTGTTTTTCTGTAGTCTTGATTCATGAATGAAAGCTTGGCTGGACGTGAAATTCTTGGCCTGCATTTTCTTTTCTTGAATTTCTTGGAAATATTATTCCACTAATGCCATATTTTGTATATTGTTCGAGATCTCTGATACCAGCCTTGTTTTCTTACCCTTAATTTGGTGCAGTGGTTAAGAGCTCGGCTATTAACCAAAAGGTCAGCAATTCAAATCCACCAGTCACTCCTTAGAAACCCTGTGGGTCAGTTCTACTCTGTCCTGTAGGGTCACTATGAGTTGGAATCGACTTGAGGGCAGTAGGCATCAGCTATAGGTAATTTGATCTTTTTGCCTTGAGGCATCGAGGATTTTTTTCATTGTCCTTAAAGTCTATTCTACTAGGATAATTCTCCAAGTTGATTGTTTCTGGTTAATTTTTCCTGGTACAAAGTGGGTCTTTTCATACATAGATTTAAGTTTTCTCATTTTCAGAAATAAACTTTCTTGGATTATAGTATTGACTATTAGTTCTGTACCATTATTTTGTTTTCTTCTTCAGGGATTACAAATTTATATTTTTTGTTTGTTTGTATTCTACTTCAACCTCTTTCTGACTCTTTTTACTACTTTATTTATCATGTTTTTATTCTTCAGTTTTGTTTTTATTTAATATTTTTTGTTAAATTTTCATTTATGTTTATTTATCCTTGGCCACCCTATAATTTATTCTTCATTTCTGAAATTCTTTTCTCGTTTCCTTTGTGTTTTTATTTTTGAATTTCTGATTCAAGATACTCTTTTTGTTATTTTTCCAAATGATTCTTGTGCCTTGTGGTTGTGTTTAGGGGACAATTTTCCATCTACTGAAATGCTTTGGTTTGCATTTTCTATTTCCCTCCTAGAGTAGCTTTGTATGGAGATGATTTTTTTTTCTTTTTTTAAATTCCGCAATTTTATGGGCAGGGTTCCTGGTTTCAAGCCGTCTTCTGCAGAATTGTTGTTGGTTGCTGTCGAGTCGATCCCGACACGTGGCAACCCTGTGTATGCAGAGTAGAACTGCTCCACGGGGTTTGGGAGGCATTGGCATGTCTTGTTTCTCTTTAGCGGTTTCAGTTTCTTACTTTCTGCTTTCTCTTCACTGCCACATATTCTGTTTATCTGGCTTTCTCCCAGAAACGGTGCCTCCTGAGGCTGCACCTGTGGACCCATTCACTTTCGATTGCCTTCGCTCCAGCTGGGGCTGCGATAACCCCAACTCACAGACGTCTGTTGAGTGTTTCGGCCCTTAGGGCCGGTCCTTGTCTCTCTGGGGATGGTGTCTGTGCATCCTCTGTGGGCGCCTCTCCCTCCCCTCTCACGGCCTCCTAGGCCTCCCTGCCCCTGCTCTCTGACCCACAGGCTTACAGCCACTGGACGGCTGCTTTGGGAATTTGGTGTTGATTTCTTCATTTACCTGTAAATTGGAGTTTGTGGGATTCTCTGTCTCCTAGTAATGCTGCGAGTGTGGCGTTATCTGTCCAACTTTTGTTCTTAAGGGTCTTTTGAGGGTGTGTAGGGAGATTTGGATCCAGGCATCTGCCATTATTTTTCAGCCTGGGAAGTTCTTCTCCCCAGATTCTTAAGGAATGCCACATTTGACTTCTAGCCTGTTTGTGAACATATTATAGAATAAAATGCAAATTTGTGTACTGATTTCTCCATTTTTAAAGGACTTCACGTACAATATGTTATCTTAGTCTTCGAAACAGTTCTTTGAGGTCTTTGAGGTTCCTGTCTTGTAGATGAAGACAGAGGTTTAGATTAT